TGATAAAACTTCATCATTTGGACCCAGCATCATCCTCCATGAGTTTCATCTGGGTCCCACACTCGGAAGTCGAGATTCAGCATACTGAAAAATCCTGGATACGTCACTGTGATGAGGGAACTTCTCTACGTATTAAATTGCTTTTCAACCGAGCTGATGTTTATCTGATGAATAATGGAAAAGTCTAGAATAATTAGGTTTTTCAACAAAAAGCTGTGGTTACGTGAAAAATTGCCTTTCAAATTTTGCATAATTAAAAATCTCAATGACAGTAGTTTATAATGAAAAAGAAATTTCTTCTAAATAAGAACAGAAGTTTCAAATCTCCTGAGAAATATCATTAGTAATATATGTATGAGACATGTTCTGTGAATAATATTATATACTAGGGACTTTCGTCGACAATATACCATTTAACACTCAGTATATAATAAAATATGAAATCAAATATAGTTAAATGTTCATTTATTTGAAGAGAAAATATATTATTGAATTTTCTTAGATCGAAAATTCTAGTTGAAACTATGACAAAACCTAATATTTTTCAATCTTTTTGATATAAAATGAATTTTTTTTTCTCTTTAATTTTAGCAGTCTTACTTCATCAAATCGAACAAATACCCCAACGACAAATGCTTGACAAGAAAACAAAATTAAAGCCATTTTTAGTCTTTCATTAATTTTTTTTTTAAAGATAATTTTTATATGCATATCAATTAATGTATTTTTCTATTGATTATAATAATAATGTTTCAATTGAAATCAAGAATACGATGTTCTTTATTATCATAAAATCGAAAGTCTTGTTTGCTTAACTATTTTCATAGTATTCGTATAAAGAATCTAACATATATGTATATACAGAAGAATGCGACTGACAGCATTAATTGATTGTTCCTCGATGACGAGCATTGAGAAAAGCAATTTAGTACATCCATGATAGCGAGGAAAAAAAAGCAAGCAACAAAACATCATAAATATTTTATATTTTCAAGAAAATGAATGTCAAAAGTATTTTATTATCACTGTTTGATAGAGACCAAATAAAAAAACGAAAACGAAAGATTTAATTAATAATTATATTTATCTACATGTACTTTTGGTATCTTTTTCTTTTTTGTCTCTTATTCGACAAATGTTTGTTTCTTATCTGATTCAAATATAAGTGTAAGTTGTTATGCAGTTGTTCGATGTCTTCAATCGTGTATTTTTCTATGGCTATTACATGGTCATATAACGAGTTATGATTAGTAAGAAGCGCCTTTTTTTTTTTTGTCTACAACAGTTGCTTGTTTAACATATTGATGGAAAAAATTCTTCATGATCTCAATAGAATATTTTGTCAGTTGGGACAAACAGCAAAAAAAACCTTCAATCTATCAACGGAAAGAGGTTGATGATGATCAAACAGAAGATCATTTTTTCTTGACACATCTATATCTATATATATATATATATACATACATCGATAAATTACTATCTAACTTAACGACGATTCTTGAATAAGTAAGACTTGTTAAATAGAAATGATTAGTATCAGCTTGTTTAATAATTTATAAGGATAAACGTTTAGCAAAAAAACTGTTATTCGAGCTTTTTCTTTTATCCAATTGTCTTTTGTTTATCATCGTTGATGATCTTCATCTCGTTTATTTTCTATATGATTATAGAAGCATGCAATTATGCTCTAGTATATCTTCGAAAAGCAATCTTCCAAACTAATATCTTTGGATACTGGTTATATATTGTGCTTGACTGCTATCTTTACTCTCGTTATACACATAATGAGTACTGTTTTCTTGCTTATTTCCATAGAAAGAAATAAGACAATGTGTTGCATTTATATGAATGATAAAAAATAAATGAGACATAAAATAGAATCATCTTGATTGATATATATATATATATAGTTCGAAAAGAAATATGTATAAATCTTCACTGTAGTTAGTTTCTAAATGAATCGATTGATTGATTACTAATATATCTATCACTTCATTAAATATAATGAAAAATAAATTAATACGTCAGTCATCACAAATTGTTTTTCTTCAAAAATCTTCTCATTATGGTACACTTATACGAACATATTCATTGCCTATATCATTTCATATTAGGAGTAAAAACAGGTAATTTCTTTTTCTTCTAAATTATCTTGTATATATATATATATATTTCAATTAATTGAAGAATAAATTTGATTATCACTAGAGTCTTTCTTAAATAATCCATAGGGTATTCGGACATTTTCTTTTTCTCGTTTCTTGTTGATATAATCGAAAAAAAAAAAGAAAAGTGATCATCTATTACTTAGTCATCTTGTTTTGATATGAATACGATGACAAACAGTAACATCATCATGTCCCGTAATTATTATACGATAGATAAATTTTAAAATACATCTAACGATAAGTACATTGAACTCAGAACCAATTCCTAAGTAACTATTAGACATCGTGACTTCTATTTCAACATTAAACAAATAACGGAAATCATTGTTCAAGTAGGCTCTCTTCTTTTTTTTTTCTTCTATTTACCGATTTTTTAATATATATGTATATATCTATATTGTATGATAATATTAGTAGAAAAATCAATACGTATGTTCTTGATTATGATTTAATCCAAACTCGTTTTCACTGCATGCTATCGAATTAATTGCATAGAAAAAATACATAATATGTTAGATTTGTAAATGCGTATTTAACAATATATATATGTCAATGATGACATTATTAATAGTATTAAATAAAAACAAGAATCAATAGGATGCATAGGACACTCTTTCTTAGTTGTATGCATCGGAGTATATTAGTAGTAGTCACTATGAGAACAGATGCTGATGATTTCCGGTAAAATAACACATAACAATAGGATGACGACTAGCTTGATAACATAATTCTTTCTTTTCTCTCCTAACATTTGTTTGATGACGTTAGCAGTCAGACACGCACGCATACAACTGAATGCCGATCAAACAAGCAGTAACAGCAGTGTTGTCTAGTGCCATTTCTTTTTCTGCCTTGCATTGATGGTGTATTCTATTCTGTGCTGATTAGAATAGAAGACACCGGCCTACTTCTTTTTCTTTATATGTACATATAACATATACAGTCTAGGCTGGTTCGATTGTATCCATCTGTATACTGATCCGTTTTTTCTCGAGGATACGAATCATCAAAAATTGTTTTTCGATCAGAATTAGACAAGATATGCGTCCTGGTCCAGTTTTTGTTGTTTATCGATCAGCGGCTCTTTCTTTGGCAAGATCGAAGTATGAAATTATAAAAAGAAAAAAAAAAAAAAAAAGAAAGAAGAAATACATCTTTTCTAGTTTCATTTAATTTAAACTTAATTTAATATAATCTATTACTATTGCAGTATGCGCCGTCGACAAGCTAAAGATCCAACTTCTATTGATGATCAACGAATATGTACGAAAGAAAATTGTTTAAGATGTTGCAAAAAATTTACAGCATTTATGTTTTCACGTGTTGGTTTATTTTTTGTTATGATTGGTTATGTTGCACTTGGTGGTGTGGTATTTCAAGCACTTGAAGCTGGAAATGAACATGATATGCGTCATATTATGGATGTTGAACTTAATAATACAGTTGGTAAATTATGGAAAGAAATTTTACGTGTTAATTCATTTCCAGAAAAAGATAAAAGAGGAAATTTTAGTTTAAATGCAACACTTGAACTGACGTAAGATGTTATTTAAAGAGAAATGAAAAGAAAAAAAAAAAAGAACATTGAATTTTAATTCAATATATATATATATATAATTTAGACAATTTGAAGCAACAGTTATTCGACAAATCGAAAAAGGTTTTGATGGACGAACAACTAATTCTGAACATGATTGGAATTTTTTTGGTGCTGTTCTTTATGCTGTTACACTTGTCTCAACAATTGGTAAGAAATAAAATAAAATTTAAAAATTTTTGAAAAATTCGTAAAATTCTTTAATTTTGAAATATGAATAATTCGATTAGAAATCTTTTTTTCTTTTAAAAGCGAAATCTTTTTATAGGTTATGGTCATATAACAACAAAAACAACTCAAGGAAAAATAGCTACTATTCTTTATAGTGCATTTGGTGTACCATTAATGATGCTTTTCGTTGCTAATATTGGTTCAACAATGGCAAAAATGTTTGCATTTGTATTTAGTCGTATAACAATGATATTTTGTTGTCGAATGAGTAATAAAAAAAAACGAATATTAGCATTAAAAAATCGACAAAAATTAATGGAAAAATCTAATCAATCTGCTATTGTTATTGATGAAAAATTACCAATATCAAAATTAAATGAAGAAATAAAAGATAATAATAATATTCTAATAACAAAATCAAATTTAAAATCAATAAAAGAAGAAAATATTAAAAATTTACATTTATCTAAACAAATAAATTCTTCAACATCTGAATCAATAACAGATACGAATTTTTCAAATGATTTACGACAATTACCAGCTGATATACGTTTAAATATTCTAACAGGAATTCCAATTTCTAATACATCACGTTCTTTAACATCATCAATGAATTCTATTGGAGAAAAATCAAAAGATGCTATTATTCGTATAAATGAACTTATTCGACAAAGTTCCGTTCAAGATATTGAAGAAATTAATAACAATGAACAACGACGACAATCTATTGATATTAGTCCAATTCAATATTATATTAATGAAACAAATAAATTAACAAGCAATCTTGATGATCCTATTCCGAATAAATCAATTGTATCTATAGAACAAGACAAAACAGTTATAACAAATCAAGATGAAAATAATATGAAACAAGTAAATATTATAAATTCTAGAGATACAAAAGAATAATCTCATTTAATATAAATAAGATAGTCAAAACGAGTTTTTTTTTCAATGATAAATCAACGTACAAAAATTAGAAATTTTCAAAATTTCTTAAGATTTTTATTAGAAATTAAGAATATATTTCAAAGACATAATTCATAAGATTTTATTTTTATTTTCAGGTTGTCCTATCAGAAGACACATCGGATACTCTCGATGATGAAAAATCTAAACAATCAAAAAAATCTTCTAAAAAAATTTTAAAACGTTCAAAATCTGAATCAACACATGATCGTCGATTAGTAAAAAAATCTACTACCAATGCATCATCAACCAATGATAGTGAATCATCAAATACAACAACAAAATCTACACGTCGACGTTTTTTTTCACGTAAAAATAATAAATTAAAAAAACAGATATGTATAGAAGATGAAATAAATAATCAAAATTCATTACAACAACAAATAAATACTGATGAAATTCATCAAATAAATAATAAATTACCATGTCGATCAAAAAGTTTTAATGAACATTCTCCTCGATCATTACCACCACCACCTAATTATGAACAATCAACAGTAAATGATATAACACCATTACCAACAACTATAACATGGAAAAATGAACATCAATTTTATCCAATCAATACAACATTAGATTTAACAAATGGTGATATGAATGATGATGATGATGATGATGATTTTGATGATGATGAAGAGAGTGTTCCTTTACTTGTTACTGTTTTTGTCATTCCGCTTTATTTAACACTTGGAGCAATTCTTTTTAGTATATGGGAACGATGGAGTTTTCTAAATGCATTTTATTTTTGTTTTATTACATTAACAACAATTGGTTTTGGTGATTTTGTACCAGGATCATCATTGAAAGTTGAAGCTGAAAAAGAAAAACTTATTTCTGCTGCTGTATATATTCTATTTGGTCTCGTACTTATTGCAATGTGTGTTAATTTAATGAAAGAACAATTAAGTCAAAAAGTTAAAAGAGTCGCTAGCAAATTGGGAAAATTCTGAATTTTAGGAACATTTTTCATAAATATGTGCGCATTTGTTTGTTTGTTTTTTTTTCTTGTCTCTCTGTACCTTTCTAATAAATAAACGGCGACAGAAGCCATTCGATATGATTAGGCAAGGATAAATTATATTGTACAAAAGTTTGAATTAATTAAAAATAAAAAGTTCATTATACATTCTCTTTCAATTTTATTATATAACTCATGTAATAAAATACTTCTCCGATTGAAATGTGAAATATGACAGTACTTTCTTTTTTTGTCAATATAGAATCCATAATAGCATGAAAATATATACTATATTACGAATTTTACATATAATAGTACACAGTAGTACTATAGATCGTTTAACGAAGAATCGTCGTTTAGCACTTACAATGGAACCGTCTGTATTGTTAATCGAGTTGATCGACCTTGTTCGGGTCAAATGAAAGCTCTCACCGCCAAACTAACAAATTTAAAATATGACGTCCCCATAGCGAACCTAGGGCAAGTTACATAAATTTCAACGTATGTGAAATGGCTACTTCCAAATTGCGGTCAAAAATCACACCTATTTGCGCCCTCACCCACACTGTCGGTCTGCTGATTGGTTTGATCTTTGTCCGCAATTTGGAAGCTACGTGTGAAATTTAGGTATAAAAATGAATCAGTAAAGGCTTTCTCCACTATTATAAGGACAAAACATGCTGTTGTTCGGGCCATATGAAAGAGAGCTCCTCCAAGCCTCTGATCGGCCCAAACAACAGCATGTTTTCTCCGAATCTAGGCCACTTGCCCGCAGAACATATGCTCGCCGGACAGATCCCCGCAAGACACTTGCCCGTATGATGCTTGCCCGCACCCTCACCCTCAACATTGTCCATTGCGAGCATGTATCGC